TGGTCAGCCAGGGAAGCCTCCTGGCCCCTTTCCCTTTTACCTCGTACGGGGATTGTCTCGCTTTGTGCCCGAAGGATCGTTTCCTTAAGGCACAGCCACCCTTCTTGGGCTCTCATCACTTCAAAACTCCTACTCTGCAGTGCGTCCTTGACTAATCGCCTGAGTTCATTGAAATCAGCTTTCCTAAAGTCTAGCACTTTCACCCTACTAGTTACCTTACCCACTCGACGTCTGATGGTGAATTCTATTATTAGGTGATCACTGTCCCCCAGATGGCTACTGATCTGTAGGTCCCCTACCATGTCATCCCTCATTGCCAATACCAGATCCAGTATGACATTCCCCCTAGTGGGACCGTGTACCTCCTGTGTCAGGTGGAGGTCCTGTACACAGGTTAGAAACCTGCGTGAGCGGTGGGACTTTGCGGTCTGTGTCTCGCAGCAGATGTCCGGGTAGTTTAGGTCCCCCATGACTACCGCCTCTCTAGCTTTTATGGTCTCCGAGAGCTGCCTCAAGAGCCCCGAATCTATTTCTTCCCCTTGATGTGGGGGCCTATAGCAGACCCCTACCACCAAATCCCTTTCTCCTTGCCCCCCATGTAGCCTAACCCACAATCCTTCTACTTCCTCATCCTTGGATTCTGTCTTGATGAGGGTCGATGTATATTGCTCATTGACATAGAGCACAACCCCTCCCCCTTTTTTTCCCCAGTTTCCCTCGTTTCATGAATGTAGAAACGAAGGCACTGGAAGGTGAAGTAACTTGCATAAGATAATTATCACAGATCAAATCCTTTAAGAACAAAGTCACAGAATTGAGGTCCCCTAACTTTCATTTTTTTTTGCTGAACTCGTTAAACAATACAGTTTTTAACAGCATAATGAATCAGGGGCTCAACCCTCTACCTGTATCTACAGTTTCTAGCATCAAGGAGTCCTGATCTTGCTTGATGTTTCTAGAGGCTTCTGCAATACAATAATAAATAATACATCTGAACTCTTCAGCTATGGTTCATTTCTTGAAAATTAGGCATACTACTAATATACATTTATATATTTTTGAGTGTACGCACACTATGTAAATATAGCAGTGTGCCTAATTTTCAAGAAATGAACTGTAGCTGAAGAGTTCAGACTTATCAGAATTTCTCATGTTTTGGGTGCAAGCTTGTTAACGAACTTTTTTTAAAGCCTGAAACGTCCAAAGCTAATACCACTTCATTAATGGCATTTGATGTCTGAGTCAAACTCCTAATGTTCTAAAGTCTGATCTTGGTACTCTGAGGTCAGTGTCTCCTGCAGGGAAGGTTTCAAGCTTTTTGCTACAACAAGACTACCCTCTTCTCAGAATTGTACCTGGCCCTCTTCTTTTTGCAAGCTAGTAGGGCATTGTTGCAACACTAATGGAATATTGACGCAATTGATTTTTAGACATGTTTTGGTGGGAAGAATTAACTTGTAGTATTAAAAAAATAAATAAATAAATAAATGCTAGTGAGCATCTGTAACTGTTGGTAGCTACAGTCTGATAATGATTTATTTATATCTTTTCAGTTTGCCTTTTGGAACACAGTTTCATTTTTGTTTTTAAACTGTACTTAGCACTCAGTGCCTAAGGGTAAAACATCATTAAATACTCAAATAGACAAAATTAAACAGCAGAGCATTCATATTTCCCCCCTTCTTAGACAAATATTTGTTTAATATCTATCTTCCCAGAAATACTAATTTGGTGTATGACATCTAAACAGTTGAAGATTCCTTCAATACTTTAAAAGGAGGCAGTCATTTTCCAAGGAACTATTATGGTCTCATAGCGTGAATTGTAATGAGCACGGATCCTAGTTTTCTGCGGTGGTGAAGGATTGAGAAATCTCCATTTAAAAAAACAAAACAAAAACCCAACAAATCTGTGGAAAAATGCAGAAACCATATTTTCCTACAACTGAAGCGCAACGGTATCCCACAGCAAACAACACCAATTCTGCTCTTGATTTTTGCTGCAGTTTTTGCCTCTTGGCCAGTCAGCAGCAAGGGGGAGGTGTGCTGTTGTGGGTTTTTTCCATGGTGTACAGAAAATTAGGACCCCTGGTAATGAGTGAGAAGCACTATAATGATGTGTGAAGTGCTGTTGCTATGAAGAACAGACTCGGGAAGAAAAGTAATATGAAAGAATAAAAGAACTCGTAACTGTAGGAAAATTTATGGGATTATTCATCTTTAAAACCCTGGCAATGAATTTTGGTGTACTGAGATGGTTTGAACGAGAAAAACAGTCTGAAATGTGGAACTGGGGCAGTCCTCTGTTCTAATCCTTTTTTGATGTCTGCCTGTGTGTCTGGAGCAGCACTTATTTCTGGAGCTGTAAAAGGGAGATGGTATTTTCCTGCTTCAAAGGACTCTTGTGACCTTATACTTAGTATTTTTGTCAGTCTTGGACAGGTACCATACTGTACTGATTGTCTCTCAAACTGAGAGAGACTTTGTATGAAATGTTTAATGCTTTTGTGCACCCCCCCCCCCCCCCCCA